AAATGCAAGGTTCCACACAGTTTATTCATGTTGTCTCAACACAAATTGATTAAGTTAACTTTCAACAAATTTATGTGGATTGAACATAAAAAATTAAGTTGTCCCAATGAAATCTCAAGAATTGTGTTATTTCAGCTCATTTTTAAAAAAAAAAGTTGTAATAACTAAAAAAAATTTTTTTTGAGTGTATCTGCCTGCCCAGTGATGACGTGTCGATTTCTCTCTGTTATTTATAGACTGGGTTTTTCTATCCTATGAGAAGACCCTGCTTCTGAATTATTCATGACTGCACGTAGTTTTGAACTGCAAGAGTGTGTCTGAGCCTCGACATTATCAGGAAGACTATTCCAGAGTTAAGGAGCCATAAATGAGAAGGCTCGACCCCCTTTACTTGACTTTTCTGTTCTACTGTATGTACTACCAGATGCACTACCAGAGTTTTGAGATCTTAAAGAGCGGGTTGGATGGTAGCGAGACAGAAGGTTGGTTAGATAAACAGGAGCTAGATTATTTAAAGCTTTACAGGTAAGAAGTAGGGGTGTCAAAATAAATTGTTTATTTGGTGCACCCCCATGCAGATGGAGACAATTCGATATCGGTTCAGTAATAGATCATAACCAGTTATTACGTACGGAGGTAATTTATTTCCTATGAGCGATGTCGCAGTAGAATACTATGGCGAAGGAGGCGAGGGCGACTAATTAAAACACTCCAACTACTTGAAAAAGTTACATAATTATGCACAGTTCATCTGCTTGTGAGTTTGTTGGAAAGACTTTCATTGACACTGAACAAGGCCGCTCAGTTTTCTTTGAGCAGGTAAAATTAAAGGTACAGTTCATAAATCTTACTGCTTTTATTAAAGGACAATATTGTATTACAAATAATATATAAATATTAATATGTTTATAGATTTTAATAAAAAAGTCTTGTGTTGTGAAGAAAAATCTAATTATGTATGTAAAGCATCGTCAATGCACCGTGACGCACCGAGATATCGAATTTAACCGAATCAATTGCATGATAATCGAAACTGAACCGAACTGTGAGACCAGTGTAGGTTCACACTCCCCTAGTTAAAAGCAATATTTTAAAATCAATATGAAACTTAAAAGGCAGCCAGTGTAAGGAGGATAAAATTGGGGTGATATGATCATATTTTCTAGACCTTGTAAAAAATCTGGCAGCTGCATTTTGTACTAGCTAAAGTTTGTTATTGGAGGATGCAGGGCAGCCAGCGAACAGAGCATTACAGTAATCCAGCCTAGAAGTCATAAAAGCATGGACTAGCTTTTCTGCATCTGAGATGGATAGCATATCCATATTTTGTAATGATATAACAAATTGTGGTAATATGTTATATGAAATTACGAATAGCTTGTCCAGTGCACTAGATAGGGCATTAAATTACTTACTGTTTATTTATTGCATTTTAACTTTGTAAACTTTTGTATTTAATTTTTTTTTATCTTGAGCTGGTGAGCCAACTAACAGTTGTTCGTTCCCCTCTTTTTCCCCTGCTCCGCCAGCCACGCCTACTCCTCCCTCTGCTCACTGCACTCCACGCCCATCATAAAGCATTTTTTTTTTTAAATTCTGAGGTAAACTTGAACTGTAAAAGGAGGACTTCATGACCCTTTAAATGACTGAGCGCTTAAGGAGAATGCTGGATTGTGATTGGCTGTTAACATAAATCTTTCATCACATGAAAAAACATTCCAACAATATAGTTGTTTTGAGCCTTTATCATTATATATGTGAGATGTGGACTATACCTCAATTTTTATCATCAAAATGATCATATCTCATGTGTAAATGGGCTTTAAACGTTTGCTAAAGTTTTCTTTATCATACAAGTGACTATTCTGTGTTATTGACCAATAGTAACCTCTCCTGCATGCTTGCATTGCTCAATACTGCTAGTCAGAGACTTAACTAAAAAAATCATGACTCAGACAGTCTGCGTGTTTCTGATTGTGCACTGGCCATCATATCAACTCTTTCATTTCTGCTTTCAGTTTAACCACCAGATTTACAACTCATGATCACATTTATAAACTACTTGACATTTCGGTCGTGGTCGTCAGTCACGTATTATTTCTTAGATGTTGCAAAACACTTTTGGTTGTGAGACGTTTCCTAGACATTTCAACAAGAGCAGTAAACAAATAGAAGTGTGGAGAGATAAGGCTGAAGAAAAATGACAAGAGAGAGGAAGGTATTTCCATGGTTTTCCTGTGGGGATGATTTTTATAAGGGCGACCGGAGCGGTAATGAGGAAACAGCTGAATTCATGTGTGCTGCCTGCGGCGGGAGGACCGATAAGATCCCTAGAGAATTGGGAAGCAGGACTATCACGATGGAGATACTGTAGTGAGGGAATACAGAGAAAGGATGAAGCTGCCGAGGCAGAATTTGTTTTACATCTCTGGAATCAATTATACAAAGTAGTAAAAAATTAATAATGATTGCATTTTTTTATGAAATAAGTTATAGTTTGATAATATTAAAGTACTATTTTAATGTATTAAATTAATACAAGTATAATAATTGTAATAATAACACAGACATAGTCCCTGATTTATCAGGGGTCACCTGCAGAATGAACCACTAATTATTCTTCCGTATATTTTATGTCCGTATGTCCTTCCAGCTACAACCCAGCTCTGGGAAACACCCATACACTCTCACATTTACACACACCCACACACACATTCACTATAGCCAATTTAGTTTACCTATACTGCATGTCTTTGGCGTACAGAAATGCCTTCTGACCCAGATGGGACTCAAATCAGTGACTATTAGGTGAACCACTGTGCTGGCTCGTACAATAACTATCCGCATCATATTTGCAAGTAAATGTATTTTAAATAATCCACAGGTTCTTGGTCAGTATTTACAGCATGTTTTAGACAAAATAATACAGATGTTTTAGCTCCAGAAAAGTTAAGAAAACACCATAGTTTCCAATTACAACAAATCAACCCATTTGCAGTTCTGACACATTGTTATTTTCTGATGAGTAGAAGCTTAAATTACAGTTTTTACTGGAAATTCGGAAGGAATGTTATCAAATCTTTATAAAATAAAACAAATGTTAACGTTTGAGTCAAAACCATACATGCACTCTAAAATCCAGCAGTCAGCTTTATCAAATGAAATAAGTGTAGTTAATTCAGACTTTACTGAAAGTTAATTCTACTCATTTGAAATTACTCATTACTCATTTGAAAAGAGTTTTGAACTCAGTGTTGAAGGTAATAAAGAGGTTATTAAATGGAGTAAGTTTACAGTACTCATATAGGATAGTTTTTTTTTTACTCAAATGGTTTGTAGCAATCAGTTTTCTCAAATGTTTGAAGTTGCCTTAACTTATTGAGTTTTACAGTCCTCAGCTGGTTTGAGTTCTCTTCATTTATTGGATTTTACTGTGCTCAAATAGCTTTGTTTACTCAAATAGATGAAGTTCACAATACTCATTAGGATTGGTTTTTGAACCTAAATGGTTTGTTTTAATCGGTTTCCTTAAAAGGTTTGTTACCTAAACTGATTGGGTTTTACATTGTACTAAACCAAACAAACTGTGAATTGTATTTTGTATATATGTTTGTCTGTTTGGGTGATCATAGATCTCAGACTGTCCTGCTGCGGCAGGATCTGTCCTTAGCCCACTCCTATTTAGTATTTACATGTTGCCTGTTGGACAGATCATGCATAAATTTTTTAAAATTGCACCTGATTACATTTGATGACCCGGTAACTCTTGCCACTCCCACCCGCAATCTTCGTTCTTTATTTGTACTTATGCTGTATCAGCCACGTTGTAAACTAAAGACTATGGGTGATAGAGCCTTTTCATACAGTGCGCCTAAGCTATGGAATGGTCTACCCATCAGCATCAGGAATGCCGCTTCTGTGGTCTGTTTTAAGAAACTTCTTAAGACTCACCTTTTTACTGTTGCTTATAACTTAGATCAATTACTTTTGGCAATTTAATTATTCTATTTTATTGTTCATGTTTTATTGTCTTATTGTGATGTTTTTACTGTTTTTATTGTTCTGCTTTATTACTGTTTGCCTTGTATGCCTTTGTAGCACGTTGGGTTTGAGAAAAGCGCACTATAAATAAAATGTATTATTATTATTACTATTGTGTGATCAAATTAGATACAATAAGCTTGGATCACATTAAAATACTTTAGATGATTATCTGGGTCACATATGTCTTAATCGGTGGTTCCTTCTTTCACATTGGCATTGAAGTGAACTGAATCTAACACCTTCATTCTACAATTCTACAAAGCCTGAAGAGATGAATATGTTCCACAATCTGAAACATTGTTATGGCTTTTTATTCATACTTTCTAGGTACAGGGTGTCTGCTGGCTAATAAAAAGTCTTAGAACTTCTGTAAATGTATTAAATCATTTTAAACAGGTCTTAATTTTGCTTTGTCCAAGTAAAGCTACTCAATTTGGGCCGGCATCTATCCAGTTACCAACAATACATCTCAATAAATCTTTATTTATTTATATTTAAGTTTTTTTATTGCAAAGAGATACAATTCACATCAGCTGTTTGACATTTTTACAACAAATTCCCCTCAAAAAACTAAAAACAATTACATGATTCCTCATGATAACAATGGGCCATTAGAAAAAATCTTCATAAGTCTTAAAAGGGTCTTAAAAAGTCTTAAATTTGACTTGATGGAACCTGCAGAAACTGTGATGTAAAGCTTCTTTGACAAAATCTACATTGTAAATGAAGATGTCTTGACAGGTTGGGGTTAAACTAAAGATATTTGAATTCATGCACACTTGTTTACAAGATATTACTTCATGTGTTCTCTGCTTATCAAACCCTTGGCTTTGCTAGTTCCATGTTTACAGTTTTAGCTGCAACGTTGTACTTTGATACCTGCAACATACGTTTTTAATTTAATAGCAAAATTTCGGTGTTGAAGTTCATCCCATGTCTCGTATCATCCATTGCAGGCATGCCGGGATTTCCTGGAGTTGGCAGAGAGCCACAGCCGCAGATGGCAGCGAGTACTTCAGCATGAGCGTGAGCAGCGCACCCACCTGGAGGAGACCATCGAGCAGCTAGCAAAGCAGCACAACAGCCTGGAGCGAGCCTGGAGAGAGGCTCCCGCGCACGCCGTTAACACACCCGATACACCCACCACCGACACAGGTGAAGCCCACCATCATTCACACAATTCTGCATTAGATATCCAGTGTTGGGGGATATTACTTAGTAACTGGTTAAAGGACTTTTTCAGAGGATAAGTTATTGAATAAAAGTATAAGGATTACAGTTCCTTATAATGAAGTTTTCTTACATTACATATGTTACCACTATACATACATTCAAGAGTTTTGTATAAATGAATTCAGAGAAGCAGAGTATATTTATATTTTTCAAGGTGATTACACATAAGAAACAAGAACTGAGTGAGAAAGTAGTTGATGATTATAGACAGTTGAAGTCAGAATTATTAACCCTCCTGTATATTTTTATCCCCAGTTTCTGTTTAACCGAGAGAAGATTTATTTTGACACATTACTAAACATAATATTTTTAATAACTCCTAAATAAATGGACATTCTAATAACTGATTTCTCTAATCTTTACCATTATGTCAGCACATAATATTTTACTAGATATTTTCGAGATACTAGTATTCTAGGCTAATGATATTAACCATAAATGTTTTTTAAAAACATGTAAACTACTTTTATTCTAGCCAAAATAAAACAAATAAGACTTTCTCGAGAAGGAAAACTATTAAAGGAAATACTGTGAAAAATTCCATGCTCTGTTAAACATCATTTAGGAAATATTTTAAATAGAAACAAAAATTCACACAGTTCCACATAAGAAACAATTAGTGTATGTATGGAAGTATGAAATATGGTGTTATTAGTGTTATTATACCTTGAGTGTTTAACTTTTAAAATGTAGATTTTTTTTCTATATAGCTTTTTATAGCGTTTTATTTTATTTAAACAAGTCTATGATTTGAGTTTTATTGTGATTCTATGTAGCGTTCAGTCAAGCAATACAATTTTAAAAAATCAGATAAAGTAGTTAGAGAAGTTATTTAAAGTTTTTATTTATTTTTTTTTTCAAAAGTGAAAATTCACTCACTATGTATTTACACACCTTTATGTGTTTCTTAAGGTTTCAAACCTTTATGAGAACACAAAAGTTACTTCGGGAAAAAAAAATCTAATTCTGTAACCATTGACACACATAAATGAATACAATGGAAGGTAATGGTTACCGGTTTTCAAGATTTTTCAAAATGTCTTCTTTTCCAAAAAAAATCCAAAACGTTTGCGACAAGTAATTGATAAAATAATTTTTTCAGTTTTGGGTGAACTATTCCTTTCAACACAGTTTTAATTATTCAGTCAATCATTCATTTTCTTTTAGCTTAGTCTCTATTTCAGAGGTCACCACAGCAGAATGAACCGCCAACTATTTCAGCATATGTTTTACACAGCGGATGCCCTTCCAGCCACAACCCAGTACTGGGAAACACTTATTTACACACACCCTTATACACTACAGCCAATTTAGTTTATTCAATCCAACTACTGTATACAGCGTGTTTTTGCCCTGCGAGCACAAGACGTCAACTTGATATCATATTAATGTTGTACCCCAATGTCGTGGGGACGTTGGATTTTGTTTGGAAATGAAAATCAGGTTGATGCCAGAACCCAACATCAGGCCGACTCCAATGTCCAATGACCAACCGAAAATCAATCAAATATCAGCACCTAATCATGTTACACCTTGACGTTGTGTGGACGTTATCACCATGACATCTATCAGACGTTGAAATTTGGTCACTTTCCAACACAACCGAAAATCAACCAAATATTCAATGTAACTTCACATCATTATTGGACGTCAAAATAACATTGTCCTTAGACATTGAATTTTGGTCACCTGATCTCATGACCTAAATCTAACCTAATATTAACATCGAGTACCCAGAGAAAACCCACGCCAACAGGGGGAGAACATGTACACTCCACACAGAAATGGCAACTGGTCCAGCCGGGACTCAAACCAGCGACCTTTTTGCTGTGAGACGACAGTGCAAACCACTGACCCACCATGTCGCCTCACAATTTTATTTATGTAACTAGTAATTCAAATACCTTACCCAACATGGCACATGTGATACGGTGATGCCTGTAACTCTGTAACTCTGTCCTTGTCTTGTTGTGCTTGTACAGGAGTGAGTGAAAGGCCCAGGAAAGAGGAAGCGAGTGATGAAGATGAGGATACAGAGTATTTTGATGCCATGGAGGACTCACCTGCCTTTATAACAGTGACTGCCACGGACCCCTCTCAACACAGGTCAGCCTCATTCCACCCCCAAAAAATCATATAGAGGTTTTTCAGCAACAAGAGGCTAAGTAATCCAAATAGTATCTGGATGCAGCCTTTATGATGCAAGCTGAGATTACATCACTTAGCAATGCAATGTCAGACACAATGCACTCAAATGGAGCTAGTGACGTCACTGTGAGGGGTAGGGTTAGGTGTGGGGTTAGCTGAGCCCATTAAAAAGCATTGGATGCAGCCTAGATTGCACTGCACCACGTCTGCATCCAGTCCTCTTACAAGTAATCTGGCAAGGTTTTATTTTTTGTTTGAATTATCCCTTTAAGTGTTGTTCTGCCAGGTGCTTTTGCTAACACGTGACTAGAGGATGATGACACTGATCTAGAGGTCTGCATTCCCACACGATTCCCATGGGAGCCACACAGATCTAGACTAAATGTGTAAGCGGGTACAGGCGGCATTCGTTTAAGTCGTGGCTGAGAGAAAGGGTTATGAGAAAATGCATAGTTTGAATCGAATGCCAGCATCCAGGAATTATCAATACATTTCTGAAAGTACCTTTCCACTAATTCTGAGACTTCAATTCATTCATTTTGTCCACTGGAGAGCAATGTGGGAGCTGCATAATTTGTGGGTCTTGTTTAAGCTTCTGTTGTGTTGGAAAGTTTGAACTTTTGTAGCTAAACTATATGAGCAGGGTGTGTGAGAACACCTAGATCAACATAACATCAATATGTTAAAATGAAAATATCTTCAGCCAGACTGCTGTATTTTAATAACATTATTAGTGCTTATGGTGACAATTACTAGTGCTTTGGAGGCAAAAGATTATTCTTTAAATGTTGTTTCTTTAAAATGTGCGGTTATGAATAGTTTTGTGTGAACGTAGCCTTAGAAAATTTGATATGCATGTCTTTTAAGTGGATTCATGCAGTCAGGTATGTTGCAACGCAGGCTCATTTTGAAAACGTAGCTCTATACACATTTCTAGAGATTGCAAATTATGTAGCCAGAAGTAGGTATGGCTGCATTTCATCTTTAAAAGCAAGCGCTACAGGGCGGTTACCTATGTATGGACAGCTTTCCTGCTGTTACCAGTTTGTCCAGTTAGCTTGCCATGTACGTCGGCAGACTTGAGACCCAGAGAGGAGTTGACCATGACGACAGGGTCTTGTGAAGATCGGTTCCAGAAAGTGGTAAAACAAAAAAGAAGACAAAAAAAACTAAATAAACAAGTAAATGACAGGGTGAGAATGTGGTGAAAAATCAGATGATCAGGGGCCTCGTGTACGAAGACTTGCGTTGAATTCATATTAAAGCATTGCGTGCAAACAAAGCTGTAAATGTGTGTATGCAGTAAAGTAAGTTCAGATGTATGAAACACACGCATATTCTTTTTGTACATCCGACTTAATGTGAAACTGAGCGCATGTACGCGAGCGCAAAACCCCTCCCTGCCTCCTCTTTCCCGCACTACATATCAGATTTTGCCTACTCTTCATCACGAGGAAGACAAGTAGAAATCATTAATAAATCTGTGTATTATGTTAAGCGCATATGAGCATCACATATTATTTGCACATTTATTGAATGGAAATGTTTCCGATTCATGTATGCAAATTCATCTTCAGATGGTGCCTTTATAGCACTGTGCGTGCTGTGGATCGCTCTGATTACATTGGGAAAACCGGCGACCGCTGCAAATTACGATATAATGTTTGGCTGGTCAACTGCATGGTATGGAAACCTTATATACCTGCTAGACATGCGGTTTTTAGGCCCCAGGGCTTTTCTTTTTCTGGATTGATTTTTAAACCGTTGATTAGGTTTAGGGAAGTGGGTGAGCGGGCCAAATGGAGCTTTTGGCAACACTATTGGTTTGTTTTAGGGAAGGAGGAGAGTGGATCAGTCGATCGGTCGGTCTAGTCAGTCAGTCGACAGCAGCCTCTGCTGGATTTATGTGAGAACAGCAGGCTTCAATGGCACTCGCGAGAGAAATTTGAGATCCTAAAAACTGTACACAGCTGCCTCTGGCAGATTCACCAAAAAAAAAAAAAAAAAAAAAAAAAATATATATATATATATATATATATATATATATATATTTTTTTTTTTTAGCGTATACGTATGCATATAGCGGTACATTTTCAAAATGAGCCTGGGTTGATATTATGTGTGGTTATCTTTTTTTATCTTGATTTATTTACTATTCGTTTATTTTATTATATTAAATAATAGAGGAAAACATCTGCTAACACAGCATCTTCTAAGATATGATTTTTGCCAAATAAATCAAACAATGTGACACTTGTGTTTACTTATTTGTCTGCATGTGATCCTCTAAGCGCTGTCTATGTTGTCTGTTCAGGCGTTCTCAGAGTAATCTCAGCGGTGCTAGTGGAGGACAGCCCAGTGACTGGAACCAGGAGGACAATGTGAGTGGCACATAAAACAGGATCATATACAGTAAAAACAATAATCGATAATCAGTCAAAACAATAATCATATATTCTGAAGAAAAGCAGTGTACTGTAAATCTCATTTGAAAGGCGTAACGCACCTAAAAACTTTTAATTGCTGTTAATTTCTCAGGCCATTGAAGGTGTTGGTGACAATTTAACTCAAAATGAAACTGGAAAAATAAAGTGCCATTTTATGCTTTTATGAAGAATCGGAGGTGAAAAAAGAAAAGAAAAAAATTCTGTTCAGATTAAATGGGTATAACTCATTTTGAAAAAAAAATATTTTTATCTATTTCTTATTAAATATAGATATTTTTTGGTGGATTAAAAAAATTGATTTATTGAACAGATCACAGAACATCTTTGAAAATAGAAAGATTATACATTTAATACATTGATACATGTGTGTGTGTGCGTGCGTGCGTGTGTGTGTGTTTATATATATATATATTAAAAAAAGCGAAGATCAAAAGCAACTATATATATATATTTTTTTTTTCCGCTTTTTTTTTCGCTTTTTTTTTATAGTATGTATAATATTTTTCCCTAACATATTAATTTGGGTGCACTAGTTTTTGGACAATAATTGTAAGTTATTTTGTTAGATAAGCTACAGATTTGGCTTTAGTACTGACTAATCTAATGTATATGCACAAATATAATATTGTAAAGCATCCTATAGAAAATATTAGTTTAAATGAGAGATTTGTGAGGGGTGTATTCAGATATGCTGAAGACAAAACTATAAGAAATGTTTTCATGGTGCTCCGGTTTCCCCCACAATCCAAAGACATGCGCTATAGGTGAATTGGGTAAGCTAAATTGGCCGCAGTGTATGTGTGTGAATGCAAGAGTGTATTGGTGTTTCCCTGTGATGGGTTGCAGCTGGATGTGCATCTGCTGTGTAAAACATATGCTGGATAAGTTGGTGGTTCATTCCGCTGTGGCGACCCCTGATTAATAAAGGGACTAAGCCGAATGTCCACTGAATGGAAAATGAATGAATGAATTAAAATGTGTATTAAGTGTTAATCATAATCGAAGGGTTAATCGTTTTGTCTTTAACTGTATGTTTGTGATTCATTATTATTACTATAATTATTGAACTAATGTTAAATAGAAACATTTTTATTAGTGACCTCAGACTTTCGGAGCTGCATCTGATGTGGTGTAAGGATCCAGTAAGCTCTGTGTGACTGTGAATGTTTCCTCAGGCGGTCTGTGTTCATCACAGCTGTTGTTCATCTCAATTAAGCGACTCTTAATTAACTGATATCTGCTGGTCTCGTTTCATGTCTCTCTCGGTGACTCAGTTTCCGAGACAGAAGGAGCGTCAGTCAGCTGTCAATGTTTATGTGTTGCGTTCCTCAAGGGCAGTCGGGCCCTTCAAATAATGTCTTTCAGCACAAACACATTACATATTTCAGATGTTTCATTTTTTAATACAAACACTCTCGGCTCTCTCTCTCTCTGTCTTTTTTAGTGTTCTGTGAGCAGTAATGATTTTTCAGGGAAAGAGCTGCAGCCTCGCAGGAAGAGGCGATCCCGGATCTCAGAGAAACCCAACTATTCCCTCAATCTGTGGAGCATCATGAAGAACTGCATTGGCAAAGAGCTCTCCAAGATCCCAATGCCTGTAAGTCACATCCACAGGTTAATTTTTATTAAAATGTGTGTGTAAAAAAAAAAAAAAGTTAAATATTTAGGAAATTGAAATCTGCAAATCCATTTCTGCTTCATAATGTTGGAAGCATTATGAGCACTTCAATTCTGTCAGAAATATAACTGGTGAAAATCATGATAGAAAACAGCCCATTACTTCTAAAGTATAGAGGAGATCAAAATGAGAGAACAATTTGTGAACACTTGATTTTTTTTTCACCTAATAATTATAATTCTGTTATTAAACTACTTACATGTTGTTTTAATCTCCTGAGATCTTTGTTCATATTTTGAACACAAATTAGGATATTTTAGATGAAATCTGAGAGCTCTCTGACCCTCCATATAAAACAAGGGTCCCAAGACGTTCAAAGTCCAGAATTCCATTCCATGTGGTTCAACTGTAATTATAGCTGTGTCTCATTTCAGAGGGTGCATCCTCCGAAGTATGCATTCGAAGGGCGCTGCGTTATTGTGGCGCGACTAAGGCTGTCTCATTTCTAAAAAATTCGAAGACTCCTTCAAACGGAGCCTCCAAATGCGTCCTTCGTTTCCCATGTAATGAAGTACACAACCGGTGGAACTTGTGGCCTCGAATGTCCCAAGATTCATTGCGTGCTGATAATGGCAGGATGCTTTTAAAAGAAAACTCCGGTTTAAATGTATGAATAAGGTTTATTTTATGTGGATATGTAAACATGTTAAATAAACATTTAAGAGTTCACACTTAGATAATGCTTGACTATTTAAGCTAGTTTGGCATGCTGTCCCGGGAGAGAAGCCTGAGCTCGGTGATAGATGAGCCCAAGACTCCCGCCTGGTCAATAAGCATTTGGAGGCATATAAGATCAGGTAGTTCTCGATAGCTTCCCAAAATAGATCACTAGTTGTGCTAATTTGTAGTAAGTGCTTGTGACTTTAACTTTTGTTGCATAGTTTTTGAGTGTGGGAGGAAACCGGAGTACCCAGGGAAAACCCACGCGAACACGGGGAGAACATGCAAACTCCGCACAGAGAGTATCGATTGGCTCAGCTAGTGTTGAACCAATGACCTCCTTGCTGTGGGGCATCAGTGCTAGCCACCGAGTCGCCCAAACTGAGGAGGAGGGAGAAGGGATGGATGGGGGGGGGTTTCCAAAACGAAGATGAGGATTGAAGTTTAGGCTGGATATTTATATTGAATTTAGAGTGATCCGATTGGCTAGTTAGTGATTAGTGATAGGTATCAGCTGTAGTCAATCCTATCACGTGCTCCTCTCGAAATTAGTTTGAGAAACTTCACAAAAATGTATGACATGTCTTACTAAAGAGTGATTTTACAGACCGTTTATGTGTACAGGTATGGATCAAAGGAAACATATATCCAGCTTTTGTAAACCTTGTTTTGCCTTCAGATTTTATTACCCCTTATTAACAGCAGTTGTTACAGCTGCCTGGTGACGAGATCCATCCTCTGTAGGCTAGATCGTCTCATTTCAAAACGCTCGGTTCGGCCTGTGTGGTCTTCGAAGGACCTGCCTTTGAAGTCTGCATCCTTTGGAGGATGCAGCCTCGGAAATGAGACACAGCTTATATGAAGCTCAAAGAACACTTTTGCATGCCAACAAATGTGAAAAAATAAAATAAATAAAATAATGTGTCATATCAGGGTGAGCATTTACTTTAAGAAATACGATGCTTGTTTTTTAGTGTTGTTCTGCTGACTAATGGCAATATGTTGTATTAACCGTTGTAAACAGGCCACCTGACCGTTTACAGGAGAGAAGTTATTGGCGAACAAAGCCATCTTTTACCATTTTCGGTGCATGAAAGTGTTCTTGAAGCTTCATATGATTACAGTTGATCCTCTGAAGTCACATGGAATATTTTGATGGTGTTTTTGGATCTTGAACATCTTGGGACTGGCGCTGTCTATGAACTGTAGGATGAGATCGCTCTCATTTTTCTTCGAAAATATGTTGATTTTGGTTCTGAAAATGGTCTCGGGTAATTGGAGCACCATGATTGTCATAATAATCATGATGAAATAATGAGTTTTTATTTTTGGGTGAAATACTTTTTTAAAAATTGATGTAATCTTTACCATTCAATATTTTGAGTCATTTTAGTTTTGATTATACTGTAGAAGCAGTGAACTTGAAATATGACCTAACATTGACCTCGAAAAAGAAGGAATTGTAGATTGTTCTCCATTAAATGCTTTCTGGATGTAAACAATTATGATCTCAGAGGCATTCATATTTTAACCATTACTTATTATAACATAGTAACATGCAGTACCCTATATTTTAATAAAAAAAAATATGTAGATTCTGAACTTTTCAATAAAAAACAAACATTTAGCACAGTAGTATTCTCATATACTGAACAGTAAGTAGGTATGGGGCGATAACTGTTTTCAAGGTATACCCAGTTTGGAAAAATCAAGGTTTTAAAACCGCCAACATTTTCTGCCATACCGTTCCTATGGTATATTTAAGATTTTGTTTAGGACTACAGTATCTCCAGCAGAAAAGATATCCAATGCTGTTTTAAATTGTAAAGAAACAGTGCTTTTAAAACTAATATAGACAGCAGAAGTCAAAAAGAAAGAAAGATTTCAATTGAATTATACAGCCTGACATGTTTACTGTAACAAAATATTATGAATTTCTCTCAATATAAAATATATTGTATTTTTAAAATATATTTATTTTATTATTTTATACCCAGCATTAAACCGTGACATTTTTATCCAAAGTTATCACACTGTCAGAATCTTATACCAGCCCATGCCTAACAGTAAGTTGTAAAAGAAAGTGAATTGCGTCTCTCTTCCTGTGTGTGTGTTTGCAGGTGAACTTCAACGAGCCCCTGTCCATGCTGCAGCGTTTGACGGAGGATCTGGAGTATCATGAGCTGCTGGATAAAGCGGCCCGCTGTGAAAACTCTCTGGAGCAGATGTGTCTGGTCGCGGCCTTCTCTGTGTCCTCATACTCCACCACAGTGCACCGGACAGCCAAGCCCTTCAACCCTCTCCTAGGAGAGACCTATGAACTTGACCGACTGGAAGAATTCGGCTACCGTTCCCTCTGTGAACAGGTCAGTGTGAAAGAGTCCAGATGTCTGGAGTGTATCTATTGGCATTCAGCTCAGTCTGGCAGGCTTCGTCAGTACATTATCCTTCAAGAGTATGGTACGTTTTTAATGTAAGGGTAATATCTCTTATTCTAAATAAGACTGCATTAGAATAAATAGAAAGTTATACAGATACAGTACATATATTAGCATTGCCAATAAAAAAATTATTAAAGCAATTAAATGTAAATCTAACGTAAATAATTAATTTAGTCTAATTAAGCACACATCAAATCACACACTACATTATTTAGCTTAATCTTCATATTTGGCAATGTGACAATTGCACTTGTGCAGCCCTAATATATTTGTATATAAACAGTTGTTTATATTAAAAAAAAAGTCTTATTAGCCCCCCTGAATTATTAGCTGCCCTTTTTATTTATTTTCCCAATTTCTGTTTAATGGAGAGAAGATTTTTACAACACATTTCTAAACACAATAGTTTTAATAACTCATTTCTAATAACTGATTTATTTTATCTTTTTCATGATGAAAGTAAATAATATTTGACTAGATATATTCAAGACACTTCTATACAGCTTAAAGTGACATTTAAAGGCTAAACTAGGTTAATTTAGGTTAACTAGGCAGGTTAGTGTAATTAAGCAAGTTCATGTATAACGATGGTTTGTTCTGTAGACTATCGAAAAAAATATAGCTTAAAGGGGCTAATAATATTGACCTTGAAATGGTTTTTAAAAAATTTAAAACTACTGTACTTTTATTCTAGCCGAAATAAAACAAATAAGACTTTCTCCAGAAAAAAAAAATATTATCAGACATACTGTGAAACATTTCCTTGCTCTGTTTACCATCATTTGGGAAAAATTTAAAATTCAAAGGGTGGATAATAATTCTGACTTCAGCTGTACTTAGAAATCATGGAGGGCTCTAAAATCTTCAGCATAGGTGCATTTCCACTGTGAGAGACAGAATCTAAAAATAAAAATCCAGAAATCACATTGTATGATTTTTTAACAATTTATTTGTTAATTATATATATATATATATTATTAGCCCCCCTGAATTATTAATTAGGTTAACTAGGCAGGTTAGGCTAGTTAGGCAAGTCAATGTAAAGCGATGGTTTGTTCTGTAGATTATCAAAAAGATATATAGCTTGAAGGGGCTAATAATTTTGACCATCGGCAGATAATGTTGCTTGTTTCAAGAAAAAGCTCCTATTTTTCATTTATTTCTTCTGAAGTTGAAAACAATTTTTTTTTTTTACTTGATCTAAGATTTTTTTGATATTTGGACAAAAAATGAGACAAAGCAAGCTTTTTTTGCATTGTGATTCAGCCATTTCTGCACCTAAAAACCGATAAGACTTGCCAGAAAACTGTCAAATAGACCATCTTGTCCATCAATCATATTGCAATATTTATCAGAGAAAAATAAAATATCACAATATCAGATATCGTGCAGCCCTGTTTTTTCTTGATTTATAGCTGTGTTTGAGTTAAATGTCATTTGTTTAATTCTGGAAACTCCTGATGAAATGAAAAAGAAAAGAAAGGAAAAAACAATATATTTTTTGCAATAAACAATAAAAAAAAATTAAAATTTACAAAATTACTCCATAGCTAATAAATCCAGCTAACCTGAAAATGTTGCATTTTTTCATAGCTGAATGTACAAGTAATCCTCTGTCTGAAATGTGATGTAGATCTATTGCGTTTAACACATTCATTCCACAAGCCTATTTGTTCTTGCTGAATACAAGTATACAATTAAAGACTCCTCTGACATTATTATTCTTTTTCAAATATATCAAACTGAGATTTTTAAACACCTTTTTAAACATAATACTTTTAGTAACTACTTTTTTCCAAGAGTATTTGTATAGTATTTGTTTTGTTGTTTCAAAGCATCTTTACAGAAGGTGCACATTATTGCATTACAATCAAATTCAGAAAAGTTAAGCTTATTAGTTACCATAACGGTATATTTTACTAATATCTTTAACTAATAACTTTAACATTTCTAGTTTCTAATAATTGTCTTGTCTTTGTCATGATGGATAAGGCTAATATTTATTTAGTAAGATACCAGTATTCAGCCTGTAGCTTTTTATGACAAGTTTTATGACACAACTTAGGTAAACTAAGTCAATGGTTACTGAGCAAACCACTCTTGTCCAATCTAAAAAAATCTTAAAATAATATTATCAACCATAAAACATTATTCTGAAAAATTCATCTGACAAATGTAAATAAGGGAAAAAGTATAGGAAATACTGTGGAGATGTATTTGTTCTATTATTAATCACTTGGGAAATAATATTAAAAATAATTACAATTTCACAGAAGGGCTAATAATTTTGCCTTCAACTGTACATTTTTGTGGAGGAAAAACAAACTCCTCAAAATAAATGTTGAATGTTAATGTGTGTGATATGAAATCTGCCATCTTTTAGCATTGATCATGGGAATGGCATTTACATTGTCTAATTTAGCAACAATTATTTAACGATGTGGGCCTGAATTATAAATAAAGCCATTTTTATGTAAGTGAGCCAACAGTGTTTGCAGCACTACAACGCAGATTTTTCAGGTACTCAACCATCATTGGAGCTTTTCATGCATGGTTAGTTTGTGGAGGGTAATGACCGTTGAAGGTGACAGAATCACCCATAGAAGGACAACATGAATGTGAATAAATAGAGTGAGAGCGCCGTCCAGTGGTGTGTTTTATATTGCTCTGCCATGTATTTGTCAGGTCAGTCATCATCCGCCAGCGGCCGCTCATCATGTGGTGTCACAGCGAGGCTGGTCCCTGTGGCAGGAAATCACAATCGCTAGCAAATTTCGTGGCAAATACCTCTCCATCATGCCTCTGGGTGAGTCTCACTGTGCTTCATACAAACACGTTCAGGAAAATCACACACTTCATTCTGATTTAGTTTGTTGTCATTCAAAGAATTCATTGATGTTGTATGGTAATCTGCTCTCACAGGATCAGGATCAGACACAAACAAATACGCCGATTTTCTCTGTTTATCCAGGTGCGATACACCTGCAGTTTCATGCAAGTGGAAACCACTACGTGTGGCGTAAAGTCACCTCCACCGTGCACAACATCATCGTGGGCAAACTGTGGATTGATCAGGTTCAACTTCTGATATTACTAAATCGTCAACTTAGAATTAGGCCTATAAAGTTCTATCTGACATTTTAGTCAAAACTGAGTTATTGACATATTCTTATTAAATGACAACTTATTTACATTATGGGATGTTTACATTTTAAGATTTTTTTGAAAAAAGCAATTGTTACACACATACTGTTTGCTATATGGATTGCAAAACTTTTAAGGTCAATGTCTCAAAATCATTCAGAACGCAGATAGAACCTTATAATTACAAGGTGAGGAATTAATATAACATCCTGTCTGATTGACAGATGCCTTTCTGTAGTGTTTTTAATCATTCAAAGGCTTGAAAAATCAATAAGAACACAGTACCTTAAGACATTATCTTATCATTTTAAGTATTTTTTTTTGTCTTTTTGTGATGGCCGTTTCTGAATCTAAAAAGACTCAACATATACTAAACGTATAAAAATAGGGATAAAGAAATTTGTGCAACAGCATTAGCAGTGAATTTAGTATGCTTTTTTAAAGATTTCTAATTTTGTTTTGTTGGTTTTCCATTTTTCTCAAGTCAAACAATGTTGTGAAATCTGAATGAAGTTGATATTAATGAAGTAATAAGTACATGTCAGCACAAAATATATGTTAGTGATAGTCCAAACTCAGGTTTCATCTACTGTGGCGTTTAAAGCAGGGGTGCCCAAACATGGTCCTGTAGGACCAATGTCCTGCTGATTTTAGCTCCAAAATTGACCCAAAACTTCTGCACAGATGTTTCTAGAAAGCCTAGGCTGTTTGTCAAAATGTGTTCAGCGTTCTTCAGCGATCTTGTGTCCTAATGTAACCTCATCATCAACCGCCAAAGATCAGTTAAAACTCAAGACCACAAGAACGGTGGATGCGTCAAAGTTCCCGAATGTGTTCTTGATATCAATGATGCACCGATGCAGACTTGAGCACCGAACTAGCTTGAGAAGTTCCTGAAGTCATTGTGAATGAATAAAAGAGGTGGGCACAGCATTTTATATAGATTTATTATCAATGTTCAGAGATAGAACTTATTTATCTCAGGAGTTTCCCTAAAGAAGTGAAAGTAAACATTACCATGAAAATCTTAATAAAAGCATCAACACATTAAGGGTGTTTATTTGCTGAAATTCGTATTAATATGTGTTTTTTTTTTTTTGTTTTTCTGTGCAACGTATATGTGTAAGGTTTTTATGCCCGTTATATATATTGAAAAGGGGGATAGAAACAATAAATGATTGTGTAAATGCTGTAATGTTTAAAAAAATTAACGTTAAAAATGCATGAAGGTCATGTGACTATCAGGAAGAACGCAGCATCTCATTTCTCACAGGAGGTATTCTCAGTTTTCGCAGTCTCCTGAGTTTGTTCTTCCGAGGTAACCTGGCAAGACCGGTCTTCACACGAACGCAAGACAAGTCCCTTCTCAGTGTTTTTGGAATTGAGAAACAGCCCTAGTAAGAGCTTGATTACCTAGCCCAGGTGCGTCTGATTGGGGTTGGAACTAAATTTGCAGACATCGGCCCTCCAGGACTGAGTTTGGGCACCCTTGGTTTTAAGAATAATTTATTATTAATCACTCACTCTCATGTCGTTTCAATCCCCGGCGGCCATCATTTATCTTCAGAACACAAATAAAGATATCTTTGCTCTTGGACCCTCTTTAGACAGCAACAATCCAGAGACGTTTAAAGCCCCCCCAAAAAAAGAACCAAAAATATTCCGTGTGACTTCAGTGGTTCAACTGTAATCAGACAAAGCTCCAAGAACTTTTGTGACAAAAAAAAAACTGTAAAAGACACTTTTCTAACATCTCTGGACCGTTGTTGACTATATGGAGGGTGAGAGAGCTGTCAGATTTAATTTAAAATATCCTAGTTTGTCTTCTGAAGATAAACAAAGGACTTTGATAATTGAAACAAAATCTGTGGGTGAAGCAACAATTTAATGTTTAGTCAAAGTAGACATTGTTTGAGGACAGCCACAGACAAGTATGTTAGAGGTAAACCGAACTTTACTCTTAACTTCTTGAACAAGACAGCAGTGTTGTTTGTTTTCGCTAAATTACAAACTCTATGAAAGATAATATCTGAAAGGGCATCAAATGGGCTCTTTAAATGTTTTGTTTTTAAGCTTCAAGAGACTTTTCCTATTATAACAAAAACTGATAATAATAATAATCTCTCATAACTTGATTTTGAGAACTATTGATTTAATACCAAGTCTTTCTTGTTTCTTTGTTTCAGTCAGGAGATATTGATATAGTCAACCACAGGACCAAAGAGACCTGTCAGCTCAAGTTCTCTCCCTACAGTTACTTTTCAAGGGAAGTCCCACGAAAGGTACCTTTTTAGGACGGTTTTCCCTGTACCTTTTCCCAGACCATTTCCTGTAATCGTTCACATAATACTGCGAGCAGATAAGAGCCAGCTAAACCATCTTTCCATCGTGCTCTGTCCTTATGCTTCTGTAGTTCAGCCTTAGAGCTTGTTACCCTTGTTCTCCTTGTTCTTCCACTGTAAGGTCACAGGGGTGGTGATGGACAGTGATGGTCAGGCAAACTACATCCTGTCAGGCACATGGGATGAGAAGATGGAGAGCGCCAAGATTGTGCAGAGCAGCAGAGGAAGCAGCAGCTCTGAGGGAAAGCAGAAGACCGTCTATCAGACGCTCTCACCCAAACTGCTGTGGAAGAAATACCCTCTACCGTAAGACACTCCATCAAATATCAGTCATGATGACACTCAAAAACCTGCTTGTAGAACTACCTTTCTCCCAGACTCACTACTGACAGACTGAACTAGCAAAAGCTAACCTCCTTTCTGACCACCTTCGAAAATAACTACTTAAACTAAAGTAATAAGGCATTCCTTACCAAACTGAGTCTGAAATTAGTTGATTTAGAATGGTTAGTATGGTAATCTGTTAATAATGTAAGATCCTATCTACTTGCAAAACTAAATATCTGCCTAAAAAACTTCTTTCTGACAGAATGAATTACTTGCAGGATTAACTACTTATCCACCTACCTACCAGGAGAACTACTGATCAAACTTATTAGTAAACTAACCATATATGTTCAGAGGCCTACCAAATTTTGTCTAAGAGTTTTCAGTTCAGAGCAAGCAAGTAGTGAATTAGGGCCTCGGTATACTTAAAATTAAAAAAATTATGTGATGTAGTTCGTTTTCGTTCCTCAGCTTTGGACTTCCATTGGTCCATGATAATTATGCAATTGGTTGGTAAGTCATGGAGCTATGTCGCTTTGACATGCTTCGTATTCTCGCAGTTCATAGTTATGTTTGTGAAATTGTTCTCTCTCAGCTGCCGTTGTTGTTGTGTTTACCAGTACACTCAAGCAGTGCGACACATTTAAAAACCCCACTTAGTAGTAGTAGGTTCGGGGGGTTTGGAAACAGTATATCATTTACTCAACCTTTTCAAACTTCTTTTTGCCCTCAAATGAAGAACAAAAAACAACTTAGTTTAAAGTGCACTAGGGCCTTTTATTTGCAGAACTTACTACTGACCAAACTCGATACCAACAGTCAACTTGCAGTACTATGTACCTATGGTACCAGACTGCCACTAAACACTACTACTACACTACGCTACTGACTACAAACAAACTACTGACCTCGGTAAAGGTCTACTAAGATTTAAAATTGACCACAAAGTTCTTTTTGAGTTTATTTCGGCAATTTGAAACAGCCCACCAAAGCAAACCTTTTAGGGTAGTTCCTTTCGTTCCTCAACTCCTTTAAGCTACCATTGGTCCATGATGAGCAGTGAGTCATGGAGCTCTGTGGCTGTTGAAGTGCTTCATATTCTCGCAGTTCATAGTCATGTTTATAAAACTGCTCTTTCTTAGAACATTTAAAACCCCACTTACTGCTGCATGAGGAGAAGTAGGTTCGCAGACAGTATATCATTTCCCTCTACATTTTCAAACTTATTTTTGCCCACAAATGAAGGACAAAAAACAACTTACTGTAGTTTGAAGAATACCGGGGCCTTTATTTACTGAACTAACTACTGACCAAACTCATTACCAACCTTCAAACTACCTGGAGAACAAAGGACCTATGGTACCAGACTGCTACTAACCACTACTACTACACTACTGACTACAAACAAACTACCGCCCCCGGTAAAGGTTCTACTAAGAATCAAAATTGGCAACAACGAAGTTCCTATTTCCTCTCGGTTAGACTACTGCAACTCCTTGTACATTGGTCTACTCTGTCAACACTCTCTCGGTTACAGTTGGTCCAGAATGCAGCTGCCAAATTAATAACAGGAATTAGGAAAAGAGATCACATCTCCCCTGTCCTCGCCTCATTGCACTGGCTTCCTCTAAAATTCAGAGTTAATTTTATCATGCTTCTTTTCACATATATAGCTTTGCACGATTCTGCCCTGGTTTATGTCAGCGAGCTTATTAGGCCATATACAGCTTGTAGACCATTAAGGTCCCATGATCCGTTTCTTTTGTCGATCCCTTGGTCTCGCTGCCAATCAAAAGGTGATCGAGTTTTCTGTGTTGCGACCCCAAGGCTCTGGAACAGTCTCACGTTGAACATCAGGATTTCTCTATCCTTGGCTACTTTTAAATCTAACTTAAAGACTTATTTTTACTTCCTTGCCTTTGAGTGACTCATACATGTAATTTCTTATCTGTATTTTAGTATTACATAAATATTTCCTTTTCTTACATTTTTAATAAAATTAACAGCAAATATAACTCAAATATTTTATATAATTGTAAAGCACTTTGGATCAACTAGGGTTGTATAAAATTGTGCTCTATAAATGCAGTTTGCCTTGCCTTTTGAGTTTGTTTCGGCAATTTGAAACAGCCCATCAAAGCAAACCTTTTGAGGATCTTTTTTTCGTTCCTCAACTCCTTTGAGCTACCATTGGTCCTTAATGATTATGTAGTCGGCAGGTGTGTCATGGAGCTTTGTCGCCTTTGATGTGCTTCATATTTAGTTAGTTTGGTATGCAAGTAGGTGGTTAGGCACTATTTGGCTTTTAAACTGCTACTGTTACTATTACTGACAGACCTGAACTATCTGGAGTATTTGTACAATGAATTGTAGAATTTTCTGTGATATTTTTATCACTTGTTTCATTCAGTTCTTTCTTCTCTTCTTGTTGTCTAGAGAAAATGCAGAGAACATGTATTATTTCTCTTCTCTGGCTTTGACCCTGAACGAGGAGGAGGATGGTGTGAGCATAACGGACAGCAGGCTGAGGCCGGACCAGCGGCTAATGGAAGCGGGACGCTGGGATGAGGCCAACGCGGAGAAGCAGAGGCTGGAGGAGAAACAGAGAGCCGTGAGAAGGAGGAGAGAAGCTGAGGCCTCCAGGGCCATTGATGAAGGTGAGCCCAGGAGATGCTAAAATATCTAGGCTGATCTTAAGCCTGACTGACACTGAATGATTTTGCCCATGAGTTGGTTGTCTGAGACTAATTTTTTAAACTTAAAAGATTCCTATAATCCTAGACTAAAATCTGTGGTCTTTGATTGTTGTATTGGCATGTTCACCAACAGACAATTATTAGCCGTTGTGATTATATTTGCCCTCCAATTTAAATTCTGGCAGCTTTAGTAAACTGTATATATAAAGAAAGCCCTAATACCAATCCATGTTTTTGTTTTTTAAACCAGTGATCATAATATGAAATGTCATTTTTAGTTTTTTGTTATTTTGCAAATCCCTCTAGGATAGACTAAATAAGTGTCCCTACATGAGCCTCTACCTCAGAAATGAGTATATTGGCATGTGCTCTTTTATATGAGAATGCTAATAATAATTAGGTGTTGTTCATGAGATCGAACAGTCGTCAGCTGCTCACAATTTCAAGATCATTTGCTATTTATAAATGTCACATCTGGAAGAGAGGCGAATGCAGTTTTTTTTGTGTGTGCACGTTCGTTTTCTCACTTTACCGAAATGAACATGGCTGAGTCTTGCATATGTCTGTGTTTGGCACATCTAGATTGTTGTTTAGTCTGACATTATGACAATAATGAGATCCTACAGTGTAACAGTGGTCAGTCTAACAAGCTCCAGTCATTAAAGATTTGTTTTTGAAGTGGTACAGTGTCAGCCAGTCTTTTGGCTGTTCCTCTGTTGTTTAACTGTGAAAACAGATGAACTGTTGTTTTGTGTTCCAGGAGAAGACTTTGAGGGGTATAAACCACAGTGGTTCCACCAGACGACGGATGAAATGACGGGAGAGAACATCTTCGTTTATAAGGGGGGATACTGGGAGGCCAAAGATCGACAGGACTGGAGTATGTGTCCAGAGATCTTCTGAATACACAGACACTTGACTGACTCTGCAGACTCACAGAAACAACTGAGGAATAAATCTTCTACACAGATTCGTCAGGGGCGCAGAGGAAGTGGAGGCAAGGTGTGAACACCTCCACTCTTTGAATCTCTTAGATAGAGATAGAGAGTGTGTGTATTTAGCGTGAGTGTGCAATTGCAGCCCAATGACATATACCTTTGCCCAACTATTGAACAGACTCTGAAAAATGTTTTCACCTCAGTGATGATTGTGTGTGTGTGTGTGCGCGAGTGTGAGAAATGCGCAGCTGAACTCTTCTAGCCAAGTGCCGCCCTAGATTATCTTCCAAAGTGAATCAGGTTCTTTTTATTCAGAACAACCCCTTCACGTATGCACTTTCCCTGCATCTCTTACAGTGACGCACACGAGACGGAGTCTTGTTTCTAATGAGATCATATCAAATATGCTCCTCGCCGCCCCCTGCTGGACAACACATGAAGAAACTGGCATATAAAGGAGAGGACACTCAACTACTCAATGATCTGATTGTTCAGCTTTGCTTCATATCAGCAAAAATACCATATTTGGGCAAAGGAAGATTGAATATTTGCCTATGTCAGAGGAACATGATCGTACTCTTTTATTGGACACCCAGCTACAGACGTTCTTCCTGGCTTCACTCACTTTGCATAGATAATTAGACAGGAATGATCTCATCTTCGGTTCACCAATGAGCTTCAGACAAACCTATTTTTAGATCCACAGATCGTCATGCACATTAATTAACTGCTTCCTGCATTGACTCAGTGGAGCCCCCCTGTGGTCATGTCCATGTTACTGTGACTGCCACAGTACGATGCATATCAATGCAATTAAAATAGTTTTTTGTACAATCAGGATACTTAATGAATGAGCGAACGATCAACCAATAAAAATAAACAAGTCATCCGCCGGCTTCTCTCAGAGAACACAGCAAACTATTTTCCATTCATAATGCAACGTGTGATACAACACAAGTAAACTGATGGTGTGTTTATAAAGTGCTTGTATTTATTAGCAGTAGTAGAGATATAGTGGTTTAAAACATGCCCTGAAGGAAAGGGCTGCTGGGACGAGAAGCACATTGTATATTGTCATCATTTTTTGACTTGGTAATTTGAGAGCCCCTGTACCAACACATGAGATTAGTACAAATTTGTCACGTGGTTAAAAATGATCATCAGGACTCAGGAGGGACAAAAAAGGAAATGTTGTCATTTTGCTAATTCTTTTGAAGCAATTCTTGTTCTCAAAGCTGTGGATTCAGACGTGACATCGCTGGAGATCAGTTCTCACCTTATTCCCGATTGCTGTCAAGAATGTAGAAGTCTTATTTTGCACTCACGCCACCATATGTATTTTGTGATAACCATATACTTCTTATTTTAAAGGAAACAAAAGTAATGATGCTATGCCATCCTAATAAATGCTGTGGTTTGGTAAAAATCAGAATTTTAACCAAAATGTTTACTTGTAAATGCCTCTTTAATCCAAAACACATCAGCTAGTCCAAGCTTTGCTCTTGACAAGCGGTCCATGTATGATATAAATGTCTTTTCTATTAAAACACACTGACGTCGCATACCGGCAGGCACTTTTTATGTCTGTATGCATGTTTTAGGACTGTTTTGATGTCGAATGAAGGGGGAGAGATGATTTGTTTTATGTTTTAAAAAGCCTAAACCTCTATTTCATAACTTGCAGAATGACAATCTTTTTACTTTCAAGGTGTCCTCACACCATTATTTTAGTAAACAAAAACTATTGGTTTTAACGGTTTAGGCAACTAAAATAAAATGAAGAAATTCACAATAAAATAAAAACTAAATCTAAATGATACTGTCAGTAAAAAATGACTGAAATATTAGCAAAAATACCCTTTAACTGCCACACTAAGAAAACCATGATTGAATTTCTTAACTCCTAATGTCACTAGTTAACACACTCAAATTGTTTTGTTCCATCACATCCCATAATTTAGAAAATATTTACCTCTACCAAATGATTGATAGGTTGGTTTATAATAAAAGGAATTAATACCTATACTATGAAGTATACGACCAATTTATTATTTTTTTATTAATTAAACTAAACATTTAAATACTAAATCACCTTTATTTGTTGAAGTATGCCATAAAAAAAATTCCAATTCTCATTCAACATGTTTTCTTTTTTTTTTTCTCAAATAAAACCAAAATTAAGTGTAGATATTTTTGTAAACCAACAATGCTGTGTAGTGTAAACCATTATTTAAAACAGTCCTTCATTAAAAGTCAGAATATGGTCATTCATTTGATAGCAGGCAGTAAAAGGGTTTTGGTACAATCAAAATGAATGAATGAGGATTTCTTCTGTGGCAGAAAATCCAACCTGCGGCTGTTTATATCTGTAGATGTGATTTTACAGCCAAACACACGAGTCAGGCACATGACTATTCAGTCTATGTAATAGACTATATAAACATAAAACAGGTTTTAACTTTTCTTCAGTTGCCAAAAAATGTGAACATGTTTAACTACATATATGATTTTAATATGAAGAATTGTGTTTAATTTAAACAGGGTTCTCACGCTTCTACGAACAGCCAATTCATGGACGTTCAAGGACTTTGTGTAGCATTTCACTTACACAGAGTAATCTTCAAACCCCGTTTAAAGACTTCAAATAAAATGTGTTAAATTCAATACTGCTAATATTAAAATGTGGCCACTTCTGTAAGATTGATCAAATGTGCATTATTTGTCAGTGTTATTGTGCAAGATTTAAATTTTTAATTTGAAAAGTTCTTTGTTTTTAACATTTGATTTCTTAAAACCACACATACAAATAGCAAAACACCTGCGAAAAATCCTACTCTGAAGAACTACATTTCTGTCAACGTACATGTCAGTGGCATCAGAATGACAAATCCTTGCACCATTGTGTAGGGATGACAAATTACTTAGTCATTTTTTCAAAATAACGGTGTGCGCTGGAGGAATTTATTAATGTAAACTACTGGCAAACGTTTCTCTCTCTTTTTTTTTTCTAATTGCACTGTAGTTTGTAGAAAGACAAGAGAAGTTGTTGTGATACAGAAAGGAAAATACTGCACTGCATAGCACAAAGAAAAAGCAAAACAAACGTGAACATAGGACAATCCGCTTCGAGATGCACCTTCATTAGAAAAAGTCAAGATTCACCTGGGAGAAATGTACCAATTCTAGATAGATTTAGAAAAAAAAGTCTATTGAAAATGTAGAGGAAAAAGCATCATGGCTAAATATTATGACTTGTTCAGCCATTTTGCATGTCAAGACTTGAACAAACGAATAAATGTTGTGGGGGTGAAACTATTCATTGGAGACCAAAATGATACATTATGATCAACATGACATCAGCAACTGATAATGTAGGAAACATCAGAGAATTGCACATAATCATTTGTGTGGATGTACAAAAGCATTTGCAACCTGTTCAAAGGAATGAGAAACTGCTTTTCTGATGTGCACGACTGACACAATGATCTGAAGATTGAACAGGCAGTTTTGAGGATTTCAACTCTGATCTGAGAAACGGAAATCTTACACACACCTTAGGAACGGTGTAGCAGAAAATGTTGGCGGTTTTAAAGCCTTGATTTTTCCAAACCGCTGTATATCTTGAAAACAGTTATCGTCCTATGTCTACGTGACATTAGACTTAAGAAGCAGATTATAGGAAATTCTGTGACAGTAACGGTGTTAAACAGCACTTGGGAAATCTTCAACAGAAGAGATCATTTTGTCTTCAACTGTATGCATGTAATATAGGGGTGCTTGAAAATGGACCAGGGGTAAGAGATTCAAACATTCTTCTCAGGTTCAGCTTTTTATTGTGTAATGTTAAACAAAGAGCTCATATGCAAACTTTGGAATGTAAGTCACCTAAAGCACAGACTCCTCAAACAACAGAACGAAATCAAAATAACGAGCGCTGTTAATAAATAAAATTTAAAAAAGAGGGAAAATGAATCCTGAAACTGGAATGACTTCAGTGGCTCACAATGAATCCTCACACCCAAACGTCTCACATTAAGTCAAGAGTTAAAAATCAATTCAGAAGAGGCAAAAGAGACCAAATCTGTGACGGTTAATAATCACTAAAACATTTACCATAAAATGAAAAGGGTTTTAAAGTTTCACACCTGCCTTTAAGACGATGCAAAAGACGCCATGTATTTCACCATTAAAACAACTCGATTCAAATGACTTTATCCACAGAAGAATCCAATCCACCAGCCCTCAGAAAACATTCAGCATGTTAGGCACTTAAAAATACCTGATCATCCTGTGATCAGCTCAGAACTCAATCAAACATGAAGCTCCATCCTCTACAGCCCAGATCAGCGCTAAGAATGAGCACTTTTGGGCTAGTCATTGCTGCATTTTCTAACAAAAACAAAAGACCTGCCCAAATGTCATTCAGCGTTATGAACGAACACAATCAACCAACACCACGGAAGTGAAAACAACAGGATGAAAAATCTGGACTATTCAAAATAAACTATTAAACCTTCACTTGCTTTACAGCAAATGTACAAGTGAAATCTTGAAGTCACTTGTGGAATGTGCTCAGCTATGGAGAATCATAGCCAACAGGCAACAAGGTGGAAAACTGAAATTTCCCAGCATCACTTTAGTGAAGAGCTGACAAAATACATTTAACAGATCTGAAGCACTCAAGAGTCCCGTTTACAGTCTTTGTGTGATGCGAGATCTTCATACAATCCATCCCACAAAAGTATTTGGTTGGACCAATTTGGCATGTTATACATCAAAATCCCACATCTGACCTTCAGCATCTGACCGTTCACAACAGCCCATCTTTTTCAAAACTGCTGTGCATGAGAGAGAAGGCAAACGGTATGAACTTGACTCCGACGCCGCTGTAGAACTTATTCTGAAACTCCACCCTGAGGAGAAACACAAGTCAGTTGGGTTTTTAGCTTTGATCTGATTCACATT